AAAGGATGTGCATCCAGAAGCATAAAGCACTCTTAAAACTCAACAATAATTAGCCTCTCATGGGATTAGAGGAAAAGCTCTAGAACTAGAAAACAAATATCCAACTAAAATGTGGGAATAGATTTGAACAGACAATTCAGTAAAGAAGACATCTGCACATGAACAGACGTTCAACACTATCAGCTATTAAAAAGATGCAAATTCAAACCACAATGAGGTTCCACTACACACCTAATGGTAGGAAGGCTGACATTTTTTAAAAATTGAAATATAAGACTCTGCTGAAGATGTGGAGCACTCACAACTCTCATACATTGCTGGTGGGAATCAAACACGGTTGGGCCACTTTAGGAAAGAGTGTGGCCACTTCTCAGAACATTGAACATGCACTTAGCACATGATGCAGCCATCCCATCCCTCAGTACTTACTCCAAAGAAATGAAAACACATGAGTATTTTCAGTTTTATTCACAACTGCCAACAAATTGGAAACAACCCAAATGTCTGTAAACTGATGAGTGGACAATTGGATAGAGCCACACCACTGGAATACTACTCAGCAATAAAAAGGAATGAGCTACAGCTGTCCTCTGCGGGGCACTGTTCTAGCACTCCCCCGCCCACATACCAAAATCTGCAGCTGCTGAAGTCCCTTGTATAAGATGGCGTAATATTTGCATAGAAACTCTGGCATACTTTTTTTTTTTGAGTTGGAGTCTCACTCTGTCGCCCATACTGGAGTGCAGCGGCCGCTCCCGGCCACCGCAGCCTCGATCTGCTGGGCTCCGGCGATCCTTCCGCCTCAGCCTTCCGAGGAGCCGGAATTACAGGCATGCGCTACCATGCCCGGCTGATTTTTTGATTTATTGTGGAGATGAGGTCTCGCTGCCCAGGCGGGTCTTGAACCCGCGGGCTCAGGCAATCCACTCACCTCAGCCTCCCAAAGCGCGGGATTACAGGCTGAGCCACCGAGCCCGGCTTCTGGCATACTTTAAGGCATCTCGAGATTACTTAAAATACCTGGTAGGGTGTAAGTTTAAAATTTACATATCTATTGTTGTATTGGTAGCTCATGCCTGTAATCCCAGCACTCTTAAAACTCAATAATAATTAGCCTCTCATGGGATTAGAGGAAAAGCTCTATAA